GAAGTTGCTCCTGATCCTGCGTCATCAGTAGGTGAGTGAGGTCACAGTATAAAGCACTTAGAGCAGGGGTCCCCAACCGCCGGTCCGCGGACCGGTACCGGTCCGCAGGGCATTTGTTACCGGGCCGCACAGAAAGAACTTTCCTTAATTCCATTTTATTTATTTCGGAATACGAAAGATGTTTTATTTTGAAACATTCCCGGATTCTCCGTTACATCCGTCTGTGTCACACTTGACACACGTCAAGCCACGCTTCTCCGTCACGTGACCGATTACGCTAAAAACAAAACGCAGGAGCTCGCAAAATGAGTAAAAAAACTGCTGGAGATCGCAAATGACGGCGGCCTTAAAAGTACGTTCGAGACAACTGGATTAAAGTTATGGCTGAATACTCTGAGATCGCCACAATAGCGCTGTTGCTATTTCCGACATCCTACCTGTGTGAGGCGCGGGTTTTCTGCAGCAACGGCGACTAAAACAAAATGACGAAGTAGACTGGACATAAACCACACACTTGAGGTGTCATTGTCTCCTATTACCTCGAGATGGAACCGTCTGGTTGCAGAAAATCAAGCTAGGGGGTTTGGTGAGTCGTCATTTTCATGCACTTTGAATTTGCATTGTATCGTATTTTGAAGGCATTAAACATTACCATAGCGATCAGAGTGTTGCGGCCAGATTAGACGCTCCTTGTGTTTATTATTAGATTTCGAAAACACCACAGTTTTCATGCAGCTCATACCATATCATTTTGTTGTATTATTTCTGCCACACCTTAAATGCCGGTCCCTGAAAATATTGTCTGACATAAACCGGTCCGTGGGGCAAAAAAGGTTGGGGACCCCTGTTGTGAGGTACATTTTTACAACACGGTATTCTTCTTTTTTTACAATGCGATAGCTAAATGTCCCAAAATGAAACAAAACAAAAACCAGCTCTGAAAATTCTTCGAGAGTTTATTAGAAAACATACTCTGAACAAGAATACATACTATGCGTGCCTGGTACCTTTGTCATTTTAGGTGCATCGATGAGCGTGGTCCTGGATTTACCGTACGTACATTGTATTTGGATTTCGGCTACAGTCGCCATCATCTACACATTGTTAGGTGGGCTCACTTCTGTAGCCTACACAGATATCATTCAGCTGATCCTCATGTCGATTGGAATGGTGAGTGGCTCATGTCGTTGAATCCTACAAACATTTGTGTTTCATAATCGTACTCTTTGCAGTGGATATGCGTCCCTTTCCTGCTCACGAACCCCTATTCAGATGACATCGCTACGACCGCTTTAAACTTCACCTACCAGGCCCCGTGGGTCAGTTCCATTGACTCGGACAAAATATGGACTTGGATTGATCAAACTTTGTTGTTGGTGAGAGCTCAGAATGTCCAACGTGCATGTTATTTTTGATATTATAGTTGCACCAAGCATACATTTTTGAACTACTATGGCCAAACAGCTTAAAGTTGTTTTCGTCGGACCACAATAGAATGCCCAAACACATGGGACAATGTGTTATATTCTGGTGAAACCAACTTTGTCTCATTTTTTTCTTTTCCAGGAAAAAAGGCATTTGAACAGAAGTGTGTCGACTTGTTATTTCTAATGCATATGAATCCGGATTCCTTTAGAATACATTACAAAAATATCAGTCCAACTTGTAACAGTTCCGGAATGATCCGGAACAGAACTGGACTCTCAAAACGTGGACTCAATCGGGTTTGAACAAAATTTCTTTATTTAAAAATACGCAAGACCGACATGGTACAACAAATGACAGTGGATACAAAAAAAATTAAGAAAAACGAGTCAAACCAGAAAAATCCAGTCCTTAATAAACAATTTGGACGGACTAATGAGACCTGCAGCAAGAGAATTGCCTCTATATTCCCGTCACGCTTCTTGTGATACCTGATAAAGTCGTGAAGTGGGAAGTGCTGAACTGCGGAGAAAATCGCACATTCATAGGGTCAGTGGGGAGGCAATGATTGTACACAATCCTTACTGAATACCTGGCACAGATCATGTAAATTATTTGGGATCTTCTGTCGGCAAATATTCTTATCGTAGAACGGAGGCAGTGTGCAGAACAAAATGAACTCCAATTTACAACGATTGGGCGGTCCCCTGTCATGACCGGGTTGTGGGCCCTGAGCCAGAGTAATCCTAAAACTAATGGTGCTGATAGTGAGCGCATGAACAAGAATTGCCATGTAGCGTCGACATGATTTACGGAAATCTTTAGCGTCAAAGGACCTGTGATTTGCTTTACTTCTGCCAGGAGTCAACCATCGAGATCACAAACCCTCTTGACCTCTCCTAAATTCTCGACCGAACAACCTAAATTGTGCACCAGAGTGGGGTCAATAAAACAATCATCTGCCCCGGAATCCACTAAAGAGTGGATGGAGAGACCTCGGGTAGGGCCGACAAAGATGGTGCGTTACGCGCAGTCGTCAAACCCACTTTCCGCCGCCAGGATGCGAAACGTGATAGAGTAGTCAGCGACAGGCTGAATACCCCGATGATAGTCCAATAACTGACCTGCGGCCTCCTTCCCAAGAACTGCGTGGTGGAACACCCTGCGAAACGCGGCAAGAAAGTCCGGCAGGGAGGACCGAAGTTCAGGACGTGAGTTGCTCAGAGGATGTGGATGAATCTGAAGGTGGTGTAACTCAGGGGCTTCACTGCTCTATGCGAATACAGTACCCAACTCTTCAAACCGGTGAGGCAGGAAGGAGACCGCGTTGCCAGTTGTCCTTGGCTGGAGGGAACCGCCCACCACTCCAGCTGAAACAGAGTTCAAAACAGAGCCGAGTCATGAGACAACTGGCCATTTTGCATTAAATGTACAACATTTTGAGGACATGATGGTAATCAAACGCTTGATAAAAAGGTTTTTATTTTAGATTTTCGGCAATTTGGCCTGTCAAGACTACTACCAGAGAATCCTGTCATCGTCTTCCTCAGCTACAGCTAGGCTGGTCGGCCTCTTTGCAGCTCCCATCGTCATCCTTGTTGCAATCCCATCAATCTTGATTGGAGCGGTTGCAGCATCCACAGGTACAGAAGCAGAAAAGCGTACTGTACTACGAATTAGTGCACATTTTCAGTGTTCCAACTTTGTTTTGCAATAGATTGGAATAAGACGGCGTATGGATCACCATCTCCATTGGAACGTGGGGAGACCAGTCTTATCATGCCCATTGCTTTGCAGCAACTCACCCCAAGTTTCATATCCATTGTTGGTATTTCTGCAACAACTGCTGCTGTGATGTCAACAATTGACTCATTTATGTTATCAGCAGTCTCTCTCTTTGTGTCCAACATTTATAAGAGTATCTTAAGAACGAAGGTAAGAGAGTTTGCCACAGCTTCCTTTAGGGTAAAAATATCAGGTGGATTTCATTGCCCACATCTTACATCTCTGCAGGCATCTGATAGGGAAGTACAGTGGGTGATCCGGATCATGACGCTGGTAATTGGCCTCACAGGCACATCCCTCGTCTTCCTCGAGGCCAGCATTATGTCATTGTGGGTCCTTGGCTCCAGCATCACCTATGTCTTTATGTTCCCTCAACTCATTTGCGTCCTCTTCTTCGACATCTCCAATGGCTACGGTGCCATGGCGGGTCTCTTGGTCAGTGTGGTGCTGCGACTGCTGAGCGGCGAGACGTCTTTAGGGTTACCTGTCACCCTCCATTTCCCAGGATGCACACTTGAAAACGGAGTGTATGTGCAGCATGCACCTGTTAATACTATATGCATGCTGTGCAATTTTATCTCCGCTTTGTTGGTCTCTTACCTGGCTTCCCTGTTGTTCGAAAAAGGTCTGATTCCAGAGAGATTTAATGTGTTGAAGGTGAAAACCCAACAGTCGCCACAGATTCTCATGTTAGCGAGCAGCGATACTGTTGAAAACCACGAGGACGAGATACCTGAAGGTCAGAATGAAAATTAAATCATGTTGTAATGTTAAGTCCTTAATGCCATGTATTTTTCCTGTACTACATTTACCCTCGTGGAGTTGCTGCAAAATGGGAAACGTTTTGTTTTCAATTTGTGAATAAAACTGAACTAAACACTACTTGGGCTAATGCATGGACCTGTTTAACTCCTACACAATTGCACTTGATTATGTTCCCATTCTTGCATAGGAAGGCCGCCCCTCCCGACACACGTATTTGGCACCAGCCTCTGTGTGTGTGTGTGTGTGTGTGTGTGTGTGTGTGTGTGTGTGTGTGTGTGTGTGTGTGTGTGTGTGTGTGTGCGTGTGTGTGTGTGTGTGTGTGTGTGTGTGTGTGTGTGTGTGTGTGTGTGTGTGTGTATGCGTGTAGAGGGTTGGGGGGTATGGATAAATGAACCATATATTGAACTTTTTGGGATTTTTTTTTAAGAGCAATTCTACGTGTGGCACTGACAGGTGTGGAGGATTCTACCGAGTGGTGAAAAAAAGAGTGAATGTGAAGGTTTCTTTTTATTGCTGCTCGAAGAAGAACATTTATATTTGAGACAGCTGCTGTTCCTGATTATTTTATGATGTTTACTTAAGATTAACTTGGAAAAAGGGGAGATGTCACTCAGATAATTCTACACATGGATTATTCTACACATGGTTTCAAAATTCACATTAAGCCTGTCCAAATTTGCCACGGTTTGTGCGGTCCATGGAGGCTTGGAGGAGCCTTTGAAGGCTTTAAAGGCCCCAGCTTTCGAATTGTCTTTCTCGAATATGAAACAAAAAAAAACGGGACAGAAGTGACGTCATGCGGACGAAAAATACGCTTTCCGGAGGATGCAGCCTGCGAATTTGGACAGAGCCTGCATCATGGGATTGCGCCAAATGCTGGTCGCATTACTATGGCAGCGTGGAGCTGCTAATAAAAATATTTTTATTGGCAAATATGTTCGTACCGGCTTGCGAGTCTTTGACCAATCGTATATGCCATTGCTTGTCGGGCCCTTTGCACTCTCCTGTACAGTAGGTGGCGGTATGCACCAATTACATGGAATCCGCCTAAAATCTTAAAAGAAGAAGAAAGGCGAGGACGTGAAGCAGCGTCAATAACAGATTTTCGAAGTAGCTGTCAACTCGCTTTTTATTCAAGGTGAGCCCAGATTCAAATACAGTACTGTATAACTCTTGAAAACACGTACATCAACAAAATTCCTGGTGTTGGTGGGGGGGGGGGGGTAGTTTCGTAAACATTGTGTCTGAGGAGGTGTGTCCGCTGACTAGCATGGGTAGCTGAGTTGTAGTGTTAACGTACACAAGTCCGTTTGTGCTAACCGTGTCTTTCAGTCAAGATTTAGCCCAACCTTATTTGTGATGATATAATGAATTCCATCGACAGTGTCGTTTGACAATGTTTATTTTTGTGGTTGATTGTTTTCAGTGATGTAGAACTGTACTGCTAAACATTAAGAGCTGTTCCTATCTGTCTGACTCTCAAGGAACTATTTGACGCAACCCGAACATGAGACAAGCCGTTGGCATTTTGGCATGTCGCTGTTTGCTTCAAAGACGTATTTGGTAGAAATCCTTGACTTTCGTTTAAAGTCAAGATTTTCTATAGGCACGCATTGCTACATTCAGCTCTCACAAATGTGGGTCATCGATTGCAAATGATTTGTTAATGTGCACACACAAAAGCAAATGATTCCAACTAAATATCATGTTACATCTCAAAAGGTAGTACACACCATTGAAAGTCAAACAAACATGAGTCTATCAGTCATTAAAATTCAGAAAATTGTCCTTGTGTTTAAAAGAGAGTGTACCTATGTTGAACACAACTCATAATTATTGGAGCATCTCTTTAAATAATGTGGAGGTGTTGTTTATATTTGTGTGTATTTATAGTGAACATTAGGCTTGAACCTCTAGTACTTGTTTTGTTGAGCATATGATGTCATATAAATTGGATTTTTTGGAAGTAAAATGGCAACGACCATGCTCATTTTTTTTTTCAGCATACGAGCCCCGAGCCAGAAATGCAGATTGACGGAGGAGAAGAGAGGCCGGCAATGGAGGGAGCAGCGGCAGCAGCTTCTCCTGCTGCTGTTCCCCCTGCTTTAAAGCCAGTTTGGGTTTTGCTGGAAGAAGCCGCGCAAATGAAGACCGAAGGGAACGCTTTCTACCGGGAAAAGAACATCCGTTCCGCTGTTGGCCGTTATCACCGTGCTCTTTTGATTCTTCGAAGCCTCGACTCTAAAGTGCACTCAACTTTAAAAGGATTTGGACCAGAGAGGCCAGCTCTCACATCTGAACAAGAGACATTCTTGAGAAACACACAAGTGGACTGCTTCAACAATTTAGCTGGTATATTAAAACAAGGCAGAGTCCAAGTGTAATTAGAGATTGGAAACACACCCCTAGTATAGTATGTGATAAAATGTGGTCTCAACCAAAAAAGTGAAAGTGTATGTGGACAGACACTGTTTTTCTTTTTCAGCCTGTTTGCTGCAGAGAGAGAGTGTGGACTATTCTCGTGTCCGTGAGTACAGCCTGCGAGTGTTGGAGCAGCGACCAGCTGATTCCAAAGCGCTGTACAGGGTGGGCGTTGCCACACTAGAGCTGGGAGACGCACAGCAAGCCAAGCAGTACCTGACCCAGGCCTGCATGGTGCAGCCTAATGGTAAATTGGTTTGAGGGTCTCCTCCATTTAATTCAGGGATGGGCATCTCAAATGATGGAGGGGGGCCACAATTTTTTATCAGCACTACGAGGGAGACACATCACACTGCTTACTCAGACATGTGACAAAAATGCCTGTTTAAATGTGGACACAATATGTGCATATGCTTTCATTTTTAGTGAACCTATTTTGTGTAAGATCATGTATGTATAAAAGATCCACTCTTCCTCAACAAAAGGTTAGAACCAAACAAAATGACATCCTGTGATTCTAGGGGCTCTTGTGCATACATAATACCATTCCAGATGGCACAGAACTGCAAAAGAGCAAAGCAATGTTTATTAAAGTCCAAGAACTCATTTTGTGTAATTTTTTTTTTTTAACACAAAAATGAACTCTAGCACAGATTTAAATATACTATGTTTGTCCCGCATGCCATTCAATATTCTCAAATGAAGAGGCAGACTCACTCATCACTATTATACAGTACAGTCTGGGGCAGTTCACTCTGCTTCCTAAAGGAGCCACAAAAAATAAAAATAAAGTGTGTCCCCCCTGCATGGCGAGCCTGTAATCATGAAACCGTGACTTGAGTACAAACCCCAGGCTACTGCAGTTAGACGTCAAGCTATGACGTGAGGCATATGAGGCAAACATTAGACAGCATTTCACCATGATATATCAAATTTCTACCCGGTAGTCTCTAATAGAGCCTGAGTGTTACAATGTGATCAAGTGGTGAAAAAGGTTGCACTTCAGAACCGAAACAGTCGAAAATAAAATGAGCTGTAATGTTCATAAATAAATCAAGGGACTAGTGTGGGTTCGCATTGGGCCCGTGAACTGCCTATCCCTGATTTTAATATTACTCTTCTGTAGTTTATTTTTAACTTTGAGGCATTCCCAACAGTACTGAAGTATAAATGACGTGTGGTAAGTCGCTGGTAAATGGACGGCTGTAAAGTGACATGAAAAGTATAACACCTTTCTCAAGTACGATGCACAACTCGGTTATTTCCGCCAACGCGAAAGAAATGCCAGAAACATTCAGGTTGACATGGCAGTAAAGACTTACTCCTGATCACAAGCCGGTATACGGCGCAATTCAAAATGGCTTTGAAGCTTTTAGTTTTGAAAATTATCTACAGATGGCTTCTTTTTAGAGTTGCTATTCCTTTGTACATTTGCAGAGCTCTTCAACTAGTGAATTGTTGAAATCCTGTGCTGACCCTTTTCTTTTTCTGTTTCAGATGTGAACGTCAGGAGGTACCTGCAGAAGGTCGAGGAGAAGCTAAGCCATGAGTTAGTCCAGGAGAAAGCCATGTACCGAGGCATGTTTGCCTCTAGCACAAAGAGTAGTTCTGGAGAATAGAACCAGACTGATGCATCGAGCGAGGTAGTCTCTTAATGATGCCTCATCTGAGCTCAGGGACTTTGTTCAAGCCGGGCGGATGGCAGACCAACGAAAGAACATTCTGAAAAGAAAGCCTGAACCAGTAATGTCTTATTTTTTCTGTGATGAGTGAGGGACAGCAATATTTGTCTACTACCAGTAAAAATTTTGGACATAACAAGTTTCATACTATTGAAACAGCGTTCAAACTTTTCACTGGTAGTAAATGTTAAACATTAAAAAAAGAGGTTTCAGATGGAGAGTTGAGACGAGAAATTGTGTTCCCTAGCAACAAGGAGAGCAGGTCTTGAACTCAGCAGAGCAAACATGTCCACAGAGCTGAGCTGACTCTGAAAGCAAATACGGTCAACTGTTCATTTTCAACCAGATTGTTTTGTTTCGTAAATTCTACAGGGCTATCAACCCAATATGAATCTTGCTGGTTGTATGGGTTTGTATTTATAACACGGGTGATGTTTCGTTGCAGGTTTATTTTATTCATTGAGAAGTTGCACTTAGTCACACGCAACAATTCTTTCAAAATCCTGAGCACATAAAAAAAAAAAAATTGGTTTTGGTCAACATTTGGCCAGTATGATTGTACTTCAGAGGCAGGATTGCCAATTGTAAAAAAAAAAAGAACATCATTCCCCCATTTACTGATCACCAAATTTGTCACAGAGCAGCATGCAGAACAGTGTATACGAATAAATTTGTTTTCATAAGTTACATCATTCAAGTCGCTGATGATATGTGTATGTTCATGGTAAAAAAAAAAAAATTGGTTTTGGTCAACATTTGGCCAGTATGATTGTACTTCAGAGGCAGGATTGCCAATTGTAAAAAAAAAAGAACATCATTCCCCCATTTACTGATCACCAAATTTGTCACAGAGCAGCATGCAGAACAGTGTATACGAATAAATTTGTTTTCATAAGTTACATCATTCAAGTCGCTGATGATATGTGTATGTTCATGGTCTTTTTACTATTACTGTAGCTACTTTTTACTCATCTTAGTTTTCTACAAGGACTTCACAGAAACACAAACAAGATGTTTATATGAGTCTTTGCATCATCACATGCCGATAGCTCACATTCATTCTTACAGGTATCTACCATTCTTTAAATATGAGCTGCAGTTGCAGTCAGCATGTTCTCCAGCCCTCTATTTAGGCTGCAAGTCCCTTTGGAAGTTAAACATTTTATGGTATGGATGGATCAATGTGAGAAACTCACCAACAAATGTGTGGTTGTTGAGAGGATGAGTGTTGAGTATCTCCAGTCCAAAAGCAATACTTTTTACTTTTTTTTTTTTTTTTTTGGTATTATTCGACAGTGTTAACACAACAAGTAGCCGGAAAGTCACTTCTTTGATGGTTTCTGTTTGAGGCTTAAAGATCTCATGGAGCCAAAAACTCTCCTCCCCAAGTCTCTCAAGGATCGAGTACGTTGCAGGGGCAGTCTGGGCGGTGGGGATGGAGAAAAAGAAGGAGAGGAAAGAGGAGAGTGGGAGTGACAGCTGCTCTCGAAGCTCTGAGAGCAGGAGAGGTTAAAGAGGCTTGCAGTGGATGAGAGGTGGTTGTCCTTTGCACGAAGCATTGCGGCCCCCTCGTCCCTGGCTGCACTCATGGCACATTGCCCCACATCGAATGAGGAAACCCAGTTTGACTGTCGTGTGGGCTCATCTTGGTTGCAAGGCACCAGCAAGCCCTGAGACTCGCTCCTGAACAGAGCCCTCCTGGACATCCTGACACTGGAGCTCCGTTTCTCTGCACCCTCCTTCCCTCTCTTCTTCAAGAAAATCGGTGAGCTGTCTCCCTTTGGCAGCTTGTCATGAGCGCTGGATTCCACCTTCGCCCTTCTCTGTTCTCCCCTGCAGCTTCCGCCTATGTTCCTTGTCCATCCGTACCCATACTCAGCCCGATCCATCTCCTCCCTCTCACTCAGCGTGTCCTTTCCCCAGAGGTGCCCCTCAAAGGCTCTGCTGAGTTTGTTGGAGGTCTTGCTACGTGATCGTGTCTCCTCATCCTCAAGCCAAGCAGAACCATAGTCCTCCCTCTTGCTGTAGCTGCTCACGGTCGCTGCCCTGATCAGCTTGTGAGACGCATGCTTGCCTCTGTAGAGCCCATCCCCCTCCACCCTATTCCAGCCACCGCTGTGTCGGAGTGACCCACTCCTTGGATGGATGCCACCGTATTCTGCTGGAGATGTGCTGGTGGTGGCACGGGGCAGTGAACACTGGAAAGGGGCGTCTCTTCGGAAAACTGAGAGCGGGGTGGCTCCCATCGGAGAGGGTTGGAGTGGACGTAGAGGAGAGTGGGCTCTTTGCGTGGGTCGGGAGGTAGGAGAGGAGGCTGTGGATGAGGGCAGGTTGGATGGGGAAGTGATCTGTTGGTACTGGTTGTCTGAGGAGTAGACTGAAGAAGGAGCATGGATGGACTGGTAAGGGAGGATCGGGCTGCTGGAGTGTGAAAGGGGAGGAGTGAGACTGGACTGGGATTGCGGAGAATGGGTGACGCTGAGAGACAGCTGGATTGGTCTCTGGGGGTTCAGGTCGGCTGGTCTTATGTAGTCGTGTGCTTGTTCTTTGTGGGGTACCAGGAGACCTTTATGTTTCTTCAACTCACTGGCTGCTTCCGCCTGGAAGCAGTCGATGTCCAGTTCTACGCCTTGCTCCATCAGCCCGACCACGACAGCCCTCGACAAGCCAGAAAGACGGGAGATTTCCCCCACCATGGGGGAGTCCTCAATCGGCCTGGGACTGGAGCTGGAATCCTGTGTCAAACTGCTGCGCTGGGGGCCTGCAACTGAACCAAATACTGAAGTTCCAACCTCAGATGGCGCTCCGGCACTCCAATCCAGTGAGCGAGAGAAGGCTGGTGGTCCAAATCCAGAAGTGGCTGCAGGAACCGACGTGATCTCGAGGGAACTGCGGTGGTTCAGGGAAGTAGGACAGGTGGAAATTCGAGGCCGTGCTCGAAGTGCTGGGCCAGGTGTTGAGGAGGGTTGTGTCTGCACTGAAGCAGCTGAACCTGCAGAGTCAGCCCCCAGATTGACTTTTTGGGGTGCTTCGACAATTCCCCGATTAGAGTTTAAACCGGGAGCAAGGTTCAAGTTTAAGTTGAGATGTACGTTGATGTTCAAATCCTCTCCGGTCGCAGAGGGAAGGCTACCCAGATTGATTGAGTTCCTCGTGGCTTTTTTCCCAGGAGCATTGAGGCTCACTCGAGCTGAGTTACCCAGCAGTGATTTGCAGGGTGTTACACTGCCCCCCGGCAACGTGGAAGGTGTACTGCGGCTTTCAAAGGCAGACAGGGACTGGGTGGAACCGTGACTTTTTCCAGACGTGCCAAGGCCTCTGTGTGTGACTGGACATTGTGCAAGATCCGGGATGGAAAGGTTTATCCGACGGTGGTATTGATGAGCTAGCCGAGCGATGTACTGCTCCAGCTGGGTCAAAGATGCTGGGTTTATTACATTCTGCCGTTGGAGAGGCGGATTTACACCACTGATGGTTTCTGTTTGCTCGTCTGCTTGATTTCCTTCAGGATTTGGAGAAGGAGATCGTGCCTGCGTCTGACAGGTAAAAAGAGGACTCTGGAGGGCAACGGCGTGCAGCGGACTGGGATACGGATATACCTCTTTTGTCCTACGGGATATGAGGTCTTCGCAGTAGCATGAGTCCAACTGGGGTCGTTGTGCACAGGAGGAGGTGGAGGACAGAGAGACACGGTCAAGCTTCAGAAGGGAAGAAATCAATGAATGGTTGAGGCCTGGGCAGAGGTCGGACAGAAAGCTGAGACCAGACACCTCCGGGTCCCTTGAAACTGTAGAACAAAAGGACAGAAAAACATTTTGTTGAAACATGTGCCAATTACATTTTAATTTCCACCATGATCTTCATCTCACCTGACAGTGACTGCTGCTGGGTTGGCTCAGCATCCTTGCTTTGATCTTGCGCGACTGGCTGTTGCATTGCACAATCTAACCACAAGATGTCAGTATTGCCCACTGACCCGGGGACCTGCTCCCAAACCTTGGAGGGTCTACTTGCCTGCACCTGTCCTCCCTGGGCAGCGTCGCTGGACACTGAGTAGCACGAGTCTGACAAAGAGCTCCCACTCACTGAATAGAATCCTTGAAAGAAAAACATCAGGTCATGCATGTGACGGGGAAGTTAAGAAGGTCAGAAATTACTACATATTAAAAGGAAAACAAGCAACGCGTCTAACTTTGATTCAACAAACAAACTTGACAGCTCAGTTTTCCAAAAAGATCAGTACACGTGTGAAAGTAATTCTGAAGCACCGACACCTTTTCCTCAAAAGAGATGTGAATAATTGCAAATTGTGAGAGGAATGTATGGATGGCTTGAATAGCAGCTCCGATAATGTGTTTGCCAGGAAAGGCTAAAAAGTTGAGTGAGTCAGTGTGAACTGCTAAGTCACACAAAGTGCAAGTAAACAAAGTCGAAAAAAAGACTGGTTAATGTTTAGAAAGACGTCTTACACAAGACGTTCACTCACTTCTGTTGGTACGTTTTTTATTGATGTATTTTTTTTTTTTTTTTTTTTTACCTGAGCTCGGTCTAGAATCACTGTCCAGGTGGATGGCACCACTGGGCTCGGGCGTGGGCGGTGACAGCAGGTCAGAGGGGGCGTCCCAAGACAGAGTGGACCAGCGGGAGTTACTCCCCCCGCCCAGCGCGAAATGTACCGTCCCGTCGCCAGAGTTACTGCAGGAGTTGTCTGGGTTAGTCTGACTTGACAGGCCCATTGTGTCAGAGGGGGAGGGTGCCTGAAATAAAAACAGTCCAAGACAGGTGTGGGCTGAGTGATCATGTCAACATACAAGAACAGTATATTTTTTATGCGCAGTATCAACACTCAACACAGATATTTAATGAGGTTCGCATGCATAATGAGGCACAAGCAGTCATTTTCTCAGTTTGAATTGCAGTTTGTGTGTGTGTGTGTGTGTGTGTGTGTGTGTGTGTGTGTGTGTGTGTGTGTGTGTGTGTGTGGTTTTAGTGTAAGTTTTAAGATTCCTCTCCTCCCAGGTTTGGTATGGATTTTGCAAAGAAGTACAGAAATGAGCCACAAAAGTTTTGGAACAAAGTTTTATGGACTGATAAGACCCAGATGCACCTCTACCAAAGAGATAGAATATCGCTCTTTTTTTTTTATCGCTCGTCCGGGGAATCTGAACTTCATAACAGACAAGACCATCAAAAGGTTGATAGCGGAACCGCAGGCGGCCAACACACTGTAAGCACCGTCACAGGATGATCTTAAAGACAGAGGAGGCGCTGCAGGATCTTGATTTTATGATCATTTTTTTTAATTACTGTGGTTTATGTTTGATCTTTATTCGTACACGGCATTTTTTTTTTAGCTGCAGTTGTTTTTTTTTTTTTTTTTTTTTTTTTTTACCTGAGCTCGGTCTAGAATCACTGTCCAGGTGGATGGCACCACTGGGCTCGGGCGTGGGCGGTGACAGCAGGTCAGAGGGGGCGTCCCAAGACAGAGTGGACCAGCGGGAGTTACTCCCCCCGCCCAGCGCGAAATGTACCGTCCCGTCGCCAGAGTTACTGCAGGAGTTGTCTGGGTTAGTCTGACTTGACAGGCCCATTGTGTCAGAGGGGGAGGGTGCCTGAAATAAAAACAGTCCAAGACAGGTGTGGGCTGAGTGATCATGTCAACATACAAGAACAGTATATTTTTTATG